CACTGTGCTGTAGCCCCGCACAATTACCCCCTCTTCCGATGTCAAAATCAAACTAAACAATAACTATCTAGCTAGGTGTTGAACAAGTAATAAGTCCTTGATTGCTTATATGATGACCACTAGAGGAGTCTAAACAGAAATACTTTAAAATAAAAGTTAATTTAGCATCCTTGTTAGAGATACTAACATGGCATGCCTTGTTAGTATCACAAAAATACCATCTAAAACTAATCTAAAACCAATCGACCATCCAAAAGTTAATTTAGCATACTTGTTAGAGATACTAACATGGCATACCTTGTTAGTATCACAAAAATACCATCTACAACTAATCTAAAACCAATCGACCATCCAAGTCGTCATCCAAATCCTCATGTGTGTTTTGTTTGATATTATGCTGTGAAATACTTTTCAATTAAAAATTCATCAAAATTTTATATATATATATTAATACAACAAAATTATCCAAAATCACCTTAAAAAACATTATTTTCAAGCCAAAAACAATTTGAAAATCAAGTTCTAACACAAAAACAAACCCTCACAATCATCAATATTTTTTCATGGCCAAGCCACCACAACTACCGTTCCCTTCATGGACAACCTACTACAAGACGTACCAAAGTTCGAATTATTAATTCTTCCCTCGAGGCCATGGAAAAATACTGGGATGAAAAGAAGCAAGCAACCTGCAAGAGGAAAACGGCCCCTCCCATTTTGAATCTAAACATAAAAAGACACCATAAGACTGCAAAAAACTTTATGAAACGGGCTAAACAGACTCCAAAGATTGTCACACCATCTGCGTATACCAGTGAGCAGATCTAACTGTGTTTTTGCAGTCAGCAGCAAAAGAGCACAATGACAATAACAAAAAAGGCCAGGTGAAAGTTCATCTGTATCAGGTGAGAGTGTCTGTACCTATTTGAAGCACAGCTTGGACCGTGGTACAGAATGAAGAATTAGATGGGGATTAGAACCATATGCCATAGTCTTTAAGTTTCTAGATATTTGTACATTGACAGCTAGGCCTTGGTCATTGATTGTAGTTCTGCTTAAAAGCCTAGTTGAATTATCTGATAAAGTTCTTGCAAGGAAAGGAATGTGACTGGGTAGAACATTGAGCTTCAACTATAATATTTTTCTTCTTATATGATTGCAACGCACCAGAGATTACTACATATTTCAATTTTGAAAGCTACAAACACAACATTGCATTAGACATATTTATCCAACCTGGAAAGAGAGAAAAATAAAACATGCACCCTTCATATATCACCAACAAAACCCTAGCAAAAGGACTGAAAAAAAGAAGAGGAAAGAAAGAATTGCCACTACTATATTAAGGGTGAGAATTCTGCTATCATATAACTTCACAAGCAAAACTTGAGAGGAATTAATGACAAGATGCCGATATACCATCCCTCTTCAGCGATTCCTTCAAAAGCATATATCAAAAGATTAATGTATTGAAATCAATGCAATTTCTTCAATCTTTTCATCAAAACACATACCAGTTCGATGCAGCAACTGACAGGCGTTGTCTTTCTTTTTTCTCGCGTCAACAATCTCCGCACCAGCAGAAAAATCATTTGGATGTTTCTAGAGCTCTTGAAAAACTGAACTGAAAAGTGCTAAAATCGAAAAAGAAATCAAAAAATAAGGTCAATTTTTCACTATGTTATTGAGGTATATATGACAGCCAATTTGGCAAACAGCCGACTTTCACACTAACTGAGCACCAAACCACTAAGAGCATAATGAGATCAAGTTCACAGCTCTCGAGCAAGAATGCAATACAACTGTATTATGAAGGAATCATTAATGGATGTTAAAAGGAAGCCTGAGAATTAGATCTTCTGAGATTCCATACTATTTCAAAACTATACTATCATTGACGCAAAGAAGTTTTACTTGATGTGGAGTTCTTTTATGCAAAAAAGAGAGGGTGCTAAGTGAAGATGATAGGAGAAAAAGATACCTTCTGCACCATATAACTAAGTTGACCTGGTGCCCAGAAATAGTAGCTCTTGCACCATGACCAATGGCGACCATGACAAAGAACTGCTCATCCCGGAATGTGGTTATAATAAAAAAATTCCTATTAGATACAAGTAGAATGAAAAATACAAAATCACATAAAGCTCCAGTCACCTAAAATTTCCAGAAACAATCTCAAATTTCCTACTATTATGAGGGGAACAAAATTAACCATTAGAGAGGGATCTAGTTAGTTAAACTTTCCTTTCTCCCCTTCACTAGGATCTAGTTTTGACATATCAAGTTTCATCCTACTTGACATCATGAACAATTCCAGAAAAAAAGTGCACACAAGCATTAGCTTATATAACTGAGCAGCACTGTCCACAAGTTCCTTTTTTTTTTTCAAAAAGAAAAATAATATCATTGACCTAGTAAGTATGCCCCTTTGAATTTCCTAGTTCAGATTATTCCTAACCATTGCTAGTCAGATATATCTCTAATTGAGAAATAATGAGTGTTATTTTAAGGAAACTTGTACAGAAACTGAAAGCTTGAATGAAATATCACTACATGTTAGGCTAGCATAATATAAATATGGCATCAAGTTACTCTCATTCTGAAAATTAAGATACCCCTGATTGGCTGTATTCACATGTTTGGTGCACCGAACACTATGAAAGAACAGATCTCCACCATGAAATTGCTCACCCAAGTAAACATTCAAGGTGATTTTGGAGTCAAACATTGAAAACTAAAAGGAAGGATGTCAGGTGAAAAAAGAAGAGGAGGAGGCGGGGGCAACAAATTACTCTTTGAAACTAGCGAGAGAAAGCTTTCTCAAAACAAAAATGGTGATAGAAAGACAAAGGCAAAACATTAACTGGCAAGCCAGAGCCTGGTACCATTGCCAGGAAATAAATGACACCATCACCGTATCAAACACGAACGAGTATCAACATTAATGTAAGGCGTAAATCCTACCCAACTAACAAGTTTTAAGAATGAAAAATAAATCCATGCAATACTTTTGGAACTGAAGAATCAAAACAAAGATGAGAGAAGGTCCGGGTCTTTGAAACTCCCTTTAGTTTCAGTCACTACTAAATGATAAAAGATTCACCAAATACAATACAATGGACAAGATATTATTATTCATAGTGACAAATGGAATTAGCAAAAAGAAGGTTCAAAGTTAACACCTACCAAGCTCGATATCCATATGCTCTCCGTATTCAACCACAGAACCATGGTGAGAATCCAGAGTTAATCCACCCACCCGAGGAGGGAAAACTACATAGAAATAAGAGCACTGAAATGAGTTTTTGCTATATTTATAAATGATGGATTGTGAGTTATAATTTATAAGCATAGAGCCTTATTGAATAGAGATATGATACCTCTAGACATGGGACATATATAGTCATCCATCAACTTTTCGAGCATGGTTTCCAGTCCAGAGTCATCAAGAACAACACCAAATTGTTCATGGTGTTCAGACAAATTACATAGAACCTGTTATCACACACCCATCTTTCCATACTTTCTACCTAAGCAATCAGAACTTTGTAATGCACAAACTAAAATACATGGAAGATCATGTCATTTACACGACAAATGACAAGAGAAATAAATAAAAACTCATTTATCAACATTTCACGGAACCTTGGCTGAAACATTTCAAACTTATAAACTCTCTTCTGAGTTCTCACTGATTGCTTTTAGAAATGGAGGACCAAAGAAATGCGTGGCATTCATATTTATACAACTCCTTATGTCAAGGGTGTGACAAGAAGTAACTAGCCAATAAGCTCAGTGTACTAAAGAACACGACAACTAATGCTTGTATGCTATATGCAAAACAAGAAAATTCAAATCATTCCATGCTCATATAATTTTGCAAACAATTCTACACTTATCGCCATGGAAACTGTAGAGTGTTTAACAGCAGTTGTTCAGTTTTGAGAGAATGCATGTGATGTCAGCTATCCTGAAAGCCTTTCCATGTTTGAAAGGAGAGGGCAAGTGCCTGCATAAACTCTAGACAACATAGGCAGTGAGAGAAACTTAAGCACTCATATAGTGTCTGTGCACATGAACACAGGTTTATACTAAAAAACAATACCAGGAATGATTAAAAAAATCAATCTGATGGTGAAAAAACCCATAAACTAGCCTGGTAAATAAGGATACACCACTTATAAATTGAAAAAAAAAATGATAAGAGAAAATTGTGTTGACAACTAAAATGACGTCCAAGATAAGAGCAAGTCATCCTCCAAAATATGAAACAAAAAGAAATATCATAAGAGAGCAACCCAATTCTGCTGAATATCAGCTAAAGAAACTACCCTGAAAGAGCCTGAAGCCAAAAAAAGGAAAATTACCGTATCCCATGCACAACAATTTTTTCTCAAATTTTTACTTCAGAATAAAAATTCAAAAAATGAAATACACCTTGTAGTTTGATAAAATATGTTGTCTGTATTTTCTATGCTTTTGATCCTGTCAGTTTGCATCAGAAATCAGTGACAACTGACAACAGCATGACCATTTAGAAAAGAAAAGCAACAGAACATATGATAAGGCCAACGACTAGCACTAGAGAGGTGCATCAAAATTTCTGGAAACTCATTGGTTCACACCACACCGTTAGCAGTTCAGGACATTCTGAACCTGTATGGATACAATCCTTTTCATCGGTAATTAAAGATTGATAGGAAAAGTTCATTCTGTCAGCCTTTATTTTACACGATGTTTAAAATATAATATCCTCACAAAACTCATTTCAGAAAATAAATAAAAATCTCAAAGCTCAACCTCTGAAAGAACCACATCACGATGACTGGTGTTGCTGATCATGTACCATTTTGTCGGCCTTCTTAAACCCACATCCCCGCTAAACTACAAGTGAGTTCAGCAAGAATCAATTGTAAGTTATAAAAGAGGAAGGAAAAGAAAGGCCAATTATTATTCATGCTAGTAGCAATCAACCCTGTGCATGAAGGAGATTCTGTCCCGATTTGCACGAACAATTTTCCCAAATTCAATCCTCAGCCTCATAGAAATAAAGGGCAAACATTTTCATAAACCATTAGAAAGAGCGATGCCGTTACGAAACCGAACACAGCCACGAGCATAACAACATTTCTTTCAGTTTCCCTAAATCACTAGTGAATGAATGAAATCTGAGTTTACTTAAGTCGATAATTCCAATTCATAAATAGAATAAAAGAAGTGGAGAAGGAGGCGCGGCATACGCGAGCGCGTTCACCCTGGGGAGAGTAGCGAGTGAGAGTGTCACTGAGGAGGTGGACTTCACGATCACTCGGCAAATTGAGCATGTTAGGAGGCAAGTGCAGCTCTAGAGAACTGAAGATTAGAGGACTGTAACCCTATTGCATGTCCTCGTAGCTCGCCGGGTTGTGCTCCCTGTTCTCGAACAGTAGCAGCCTCTGCGTCAATAGCAATTCCACGCCGTTCCCTTTCCCCCTCGTTTTTTGAGTCGCGTCATCCATGAACATTTTTCAAGATACATATGCAGGTCGCTTAAAACCCCCCGGAAATTAGACTTTTCGAGGCTTTATGAGCTGGAATGCGTAGAGACTAGTCTTGGACAACTGAACACATCACCTGAAAATCTTGGTATTTGGTAACTTTCGTCCGTCTAGTATGGTGATATTTTTTAAAAAGTAAAGAATGTATTAAAAAATATATTTATATTTTTAATATAAAATATTAAAAAATATTAATTTAATATTTTTTATTTTAAAAATAAATAAATGCAAAACAAAGGCAATGTATGAGTTTAGTTGTTAAAAAAATAATCCTTTGACAGTTTTGATCCAAAAACATTTGAAATATTTTAAATGCCTAGATAAACTTGCTTGTAACTTCAAACATCCCTAAAAATATAAAAAATAAAATTAATTTGAAATTCAAAAAGTTTTTAATGCAGGTTTATTCTTTTTCAAGAGATCTAGATGTAAAATAATACTCTAATAGAGCTTTTCTCATTAAATAACACTCGTAAATATTGAACTCGATCTTTTTTTTTGGTCTTGATCATTGTTAATCAATATTTTTTTTATTTACCATTAGAATCCCATAATTTTTTTCTCGCTATCAATAAAAAATAAGGTTTTAAATTAAAAGTGAATCCATTAAAAAAATAAAAATGAAATGAAAAAAAATAAATATGATAAGATGGCAAATCAGAGTGCTATTGCGGGTTATAAAATAAATATACTTAATAATGTTATAATTATAAATCAGCACGAGATAAATAATAGAAATTAAAGTGATTAATGATTTTTTTTCTTTTATGTCTTAAAAAATAGATAAAAACATGAAGTTTTAAATCAAGAGTGAACCCAGAAAAAAATAAAAAATAAAATGATGAAAAATAGATATGACAAAATGGCATGCTCGCACGCTGTTGTGGGCTTATGAAACAGATATACTTGATGGTATTATAATTACAAATTAACGCTAAATAAGTAATAGAAACTAAAACTATGATGGAGTCAATAGTTCATAATAAAAAACAAAAGTAAATAACACTTGTAAATATTAAACTTGATCTTTTTTTTTTTAGTCTTGATCATTGTTAATCAATATCTTTTTTATTTATCATTAGAATCCCATAATTTTTTTTTCGTAACTTGAACCAACAATAAAAAATAAGGTTTTAAATTAAAAGTGAATCCATTAAAAAAAATAAAAATAAAATGAAAATAAATAAATATAATAAGATGGCAAATCAGAGTGCTACTACGGGTTATAAAACAAATATACTTAATAATGTTATAATTACAAACCAGCATGAGATAAATAATAGAAATTAAAGTGATTAATGATTTTTTTTCTCCTATGTCTTAAAAAGATAGATAAAAATATGAAGTTTTAAATCAAGAGTGAACCCAGTAAAAAATAAAATGATGAAAAATAGATATGACAAAATGGGATGCTCGCACGCTGCTGTGGGCCTATGAAACAGATATACTTAATGATATTATAATTATAAATTAGCGCTGAATAAGTAATAGAAACTAAAATTATGATGAAGTCAATAGTTCATAATAAAAAACAAAAGGTTGTGTCAATGATAAAAAAAACTTTGAGATGGAATAAAATGATTTGTAGCAGTCCACAGTATTTTGCAAGGAAAGATACAGTGCTTTCGCCATATAATTTAACCTTTTTGTCAATAAATAGCAAAAACAATCACAAAGCTAAATTTTCTACCAATTTAATATTAAAAAAATTGACAAAAGTAGTTTTGAAATGAAAAAACCTATGAAAAAAAATATTGTAGCAATTGACAATATTTTGCTGAGAAAATTATAGTGTTTTTTCAAATATAATCAACAAAAACGATTTAGAAATAATCATAAAGAAAAACCATTTAGAGAAATACTTTAGTAATCTATAATGTTTTTTGAGAAAAACAATAATGCTTTTCCCATATGATTTAGTTTTATTGTAATTATAATTTTTAACCAATTTAATATTTAAAAAAATAACAAAGAAAATTTCTTTTAAAATCCATTAAAAAAATACATGAAAAAATATTTCAACAATTCACAGTGTTTTAAATAAATAAAAAATACAAAGTTAAATTCTCAATTAACTCAATATTTTAAAAAAATTAACAAAAATAATATAAAAAAAAACACAAAAAAAACTATGCTGGAAAAATCATAGCAATTCATAATGTTTCATGATGATAATCACAATGCTTTCTTACATGATTTAACTTTATTTATAATGACTTATAATTATAATTTTCAACTAGCTGAGTATTATAACTGTAATCAGTATCAACTTGTACATACATCAATTAATCTCACATGCCTTGAAATTAATAGTCATGCAAGCCTCTAGTAATTTGAAGATTTGTGAGACTTGAATCGATAATCTCTAGAGAGCAAATCTAAGACCTGATTAGTTGGGCTACAACTCTCAAAAAAAATTTCTTCATGTAGTTAACCGCATGAGTGAGAGGAGAGAGATTAACTTGTTCGGAAGTATGGTTATAATTACTTTTAAAAGTGTTTTTAAATTAACAAAAATAATATAAAAAAACACATAAAAAAAACTATGCTGAAAAAACCATAGCAATTCATAATATTTCATGATGATAATCACAGTGCTTTCTCACATGATTTAACTTTATTTAAAAAATAAGTTTTTAAAAATACAAAAACAAATAGAATAATAGAAAATAAAAAAACCTCCTGTTATGCAATTCTAGCTCAGTATTATAACTGTAATCAGTATCAACTTGTACATACATCAATTAATCTCACATGTCTATTAATAGACTTGAATTGATGATCTCTAGAGAGCAAATCTAAAACTTTATTAATTGGGCTACAACTCTAAAAAAAAAAATTCTTCATGTATTTAACCACAATAGTGAAAGGAAAGAGATTAACTTGTTCGGAAGCGTGGTTATAATTACTTTTAAAAGTGTTTTTTATTTTAAAATATATTAAAATAATATTTATTATTTTTAAAAAATTATTTATAATATTAATACATTAAAATAATATAAAAACACCATAAATATATTAATCTAAAATAAAAAATAATTTTTTTAAAATACAAAAACAAATAGAATAATAAAAAATAAAAAAACCTCCTGTTATGCAATTCAAAGCCTAGAGACAGAGGGACTTCCTGATCTCATTTTATACAGGGTTGAGCTCGTAATAAGAAAATTTTGGTGGCAATAATTATTTTTTAAAGTATTTTTTATTTAGAAGTGTTTGTATATACATATATATATATATATTATCATTTTTAAAAATTATTTTTAATATAGTATTTTAAAATTATTAAAAAATATTTTAAAAATAAACACCATAAATATATTAATCTAAAATAAAAAATAATTTTTTTAAAATACAAAAACAAATAGAATAATAAAAAATAAAAAAACCTCCTGTTATGCAATTCAAAGCCTAGAGACAGAGGGACTTCCTGATCTCATTTTATACAGGGTTGAGCTCGTAATAAGAAAATTTTGGTGGCAATAATTATTTTTTAAAGTATTTTTTATTTAGAAGTGTTTGTATATACATATATATATATATATTATCATTTTTAAAAATTATTTTTAATATAGTATTTTAAAATTATTAAAAAATATTTTAAAAATTTTAAAAATCTTTACAGTGATTTTTACAGCGTCAAACTAAAAACAGGAGAGCATTTTTTTAAAAAATGATTTCCTTTAAAATAAAATCAAGTGAGATGATATACTTTAGAAAGATCTATTGATGGTTGAGGATGACAGCAGGATACAAAAATATATAAAATGCTATAACAATGCCCATTTGATTTTGCAAAAGTAAGTTAGTTTTTTAAAAATTACTTTTAATTTTTTTTAATTTTTATTTATTATTAAAAAATTAATTAATAAAAAAATTAAAATAAATAAAAAATTAAACTTGATTTTTAGAAAAGTATTTTTTTATTTCAAAAGAAAAATATTTTTCAAAAATTATAAATAATTTTAAAAATATTTTATTATTCGTTGATTATATCAAATTCAATCATTAATTTTTTATTGTCATGTATTTTATTTTGAATTATTTTTTTAATTTTTTAATTAAAATTTAATTTTTATATTAACTCTAATATTAATTTTTTTGATTGTTTTTTTTTTATTTTTTCAGTTGAAATTTTTTATGTATCATATTTAATCTTTATTTTTTATTACTATTTATTTTATTTAAAATAATTTATAAAACTAGATTTTTTTTCAATTTCATTATTTTTCAATCTTTTTATCTATCATATTGGTTTTTATTTTTTACAGAAACCATTTTTCAAGTGAAAATTAAATTCAAATCAATGAAATAGCCTAAGGGTGTACTTGCAAATATGTTTTTTTTAACTTAATTTTTATTATATTTTTATATTATTTTGATATGTTGATGTTAAAAATAATTTTAAAAAAATAAAAAAATATTATTTTAA